TGCTCAGTCTATTTCAGTCATGATGAGGAACGGGGGCGGGCGGGAGGGGTAAGCAAGAGAGTGACCGAGCTTGCAGGTAATGCAAGATCATCCAGGTTGGTGAGCACCAACGCCGGATGTGTGCAGAGCTCCTGGAAGACCCCTCTGAGCTGGCTGAGGAGGAAACACCCCCGGCAAAGAAGCGGCCAGGCGAGGCAGAGGGGAAGGGAAGGATCCTCATTGGAAATCCACGCTGATCGGGGGTCCCAACGGGCTGAGACGGAGAGAGATTTGGGGGGGGGGGCTGGCATGGGCACAGCCTGCTGGAAACGTCAACGGGTGGTGGCGGCGGCGGCAGTGGCAGGGGAAGAGGCAGCCAGCACTGCCGGGACCTGCGGTTGGGGGGGGGGGGATCAGGGGAAGGCCTTGTGGCAAAAGGAGTGAGGTCCGGTTGGGAACACGCGTCCTCCCTCGCAAGGAGCCGGAGGGCAACCGAGAAGGGTCAGAGAGGCTGGAGCCCCTTCCCGGCGAGGAGAGGCTGGAGAGACCTCGGGGGAGGCAGGGCAGGACTCGGGGGTCTCTACAGCTGTGTGCAGCAGGAGGGAGGGAGCCTTTTCTCCCTCGCCCATCTTCTAGAACTCGAGGGGGGAGGGGGGTGCCTCAGGACAGACCGAAGGAAGGGCAGCCCCAGCCTCTCTGCCCGGCCAGTGGGGGCCCTCTCTCCAGGGCAATTGGCTGGCCAGTCGGTACGAAGGGAAGCTGGAAGCCGGGGTTACAGTCCCAGGTCCTTGCGGGAGAGCCAAAGGACGGGGCCACTGCTGGGCGGGGTGGGGCGTGGGCATCCAGGAGGCCCCTTTGGCACATCCTCCCCCCCCCCGTGTGGCTCCGGAACGGCTCTGCGCGCCCAGCCGGCCCCTCTCATAGAATCTTAGAATGTCAGAGCTGGAAGGGACCGTGCAGGTCATCTAGTCCAAACCCCCCCCCCACTCTGCAGGAGCAGAGCCGGAAGAGAGCAGAGGGCTCCTCTCCATGCGGGCCCCGCTCCCCCCCCCAAGAAGCAGCTCCCCCCCCCCGGGGCGCCAAGTACCTGCCCGTAATTCCAGGGGGAGGGCTGGATCCAGTCCTGGTTGCCTTGGTAGAGGATGCCGTCCTCGCTCATGACGTATTCCTGCCGCTCAGGCTCACTCGCCAGGTACACCTCGTCCTCTGTGGCCGCGTGGGGTGGTGGTGGGGTGGGTGGGTGCTGGGGCCTTCTGCCCTTCTCCGCTGCTTCTCCCCCAGCACCCTCTCCCCGGCTGCCTCTGAGGGAAGCCGAGGCCCCCCCACCCCACCCCAAGCTCCCCTGCCAGGAGGGCTCGACCCC